TAATCCCGTAGTTTAAAAAATCAAATACCTTTGTTGGTTCTGAGAGATTTGAGGACAGTTTTGTAACCCAAAGTGTATTTTCCACTCTTCATAACAAGAGCCAATCTGTTGTTAATGCTCTCATGGGTCTTCTTCTGCAGTTCATCAACAAAATAACCAGTAATTAGCATATATTCAGAAAATTAGGAAGAAATTATTATTTTTTAAATGGAAGTGGGATTTTACGGTCTTCTTGGCGGCAACCATTGTCGTCGGGGGGGAGCTTCGTGGCGAGGGGGTGGCGGGAGGGGAGTGACTGCGGAAAATACAAATGGTTCACCACAAACGATCAAAACCCTAGATGTTCACTGCAAGCGAGTTTATATAGTATTAACACTAGGGTTTTAGAGGTGTTATGGGCTTGTGGCCCTGTGGTACATTTCCGTATTATTAGGTAGTTCGTGAATATATTTTTATAATTAATAATTAATTTAATTAAAATATTATTTATTATTTAATATTAAATAATATTGATTGGACGTATTAAATTATTATAATTAATGTTAATAATATATATTAACGTATCATAAATGATAATAATATGATATATTAATTTTGACATAATACTATGATTATGTAATATTTTTACTTTTTATGTTTTACAATATGGATATAAAATAATAAGTAATACTTTAATTAATAACAATTAGTCAATTATTAATCAAAAAAATTTATTTAATTTATAATAAATATACAAAGATTTAATTAAACGTAATATAAAAATAAATATTTATTTAAATTTTTTCTGAATAGTTTTTAGCTTTTTTAAGTATTGTGCTTAATAAAATTAAAAATAAAACACATAATAGCTAAAGAAGCCCCTAAACTATTTTAAAAAATTCAAATAAGTAATTATTCTTTTATTGAATTTAATTAAAGATTTGTATTTTTATTATGAAATAAATAAGTTTTTATATTTTTATTTTAAGCTAAGTAAGCCTTCAAGACTAATAGTTAACTTAATTAAAATGTAACTTGTCATTACGAGTCATATAATGCTATACATGTTATAGTGATATATCATAATAGATAATGATATAATATTTTTCACAATTCACATTAGCATTATATTATTATCACATGGTATAAAGTGACAAGTAGTATTTTGATTTATAACATTTAATCGACTATTAATGATAATAGCTTATTTGATTTAAAATAAAAATATAAAATATTAATTAAATATAATAAAATAATAACAATTTATTTAAATTTTTTTAAATAGTTTATGATTAATTGAAATTAAACAAATGAACCATATTCATCTTTTGGAAAAAAATTACTAATAGTAACAACTAGTAATTTCTTATTGATTTAAATAAAAAAAATTATGTAATCAATTACTTATATTTTAATTGTATCTAAAGAAATTTTTATTCTTTTAGTATATTCATATAAATTTTAATTTATAATAAAAAATTAATTATCATCATACTTATACCAATATATTTTTTTTAGATATAATTTGATGACCTAATCACAAAATAGTTGAGATAAATATTTTTTTCCTTTTTCCCTTATACACACATTGCCACATGTTATATGACATGACTACACTAAATTAACACGAAATGTTGTCATCAAGCTAGTTTAGTCATATAGATAAAAATTATTAATTTGTATTAATTTTTTTGTTATGAATTAAAAGTTTGTGCAAGTATAATAAAAAAATATTTTTTAAATATAAATAAATATAAAAATTCAATTGTATAAATTATTATAAGTTAACAAAAATAACTAATATATATTTTGATATTTCTTTAAGTATATTTGCTTTTGTCATGACTCAATACTAATTACTAGTATTATTTTCTTAAAAATAAGATTTAAGTCCAAATTTTTCTTTTTCAAATTTCAGTAATAGAGAGATATGAAGTTTTTTTTCTAAATATTTTTCAGGGATACTTACGAACTCTCTTATTATCACTGATCATAATATTTTTTAAACAATTTAAAGATAAGAATAGTTTTTTTTATTAAATTTTATTTAAAATGAAAAAAGAGCATAATTATAATATATAAAAAATTAATTCATAAGCTATTTTCAAAGTCAAAGTTTGTAAATACCATTGTATATATATAGTTTCATATAAGAATATGAATATAGAAATTTTTTTAAATAAAGATGAAAATAATTATATTTATTTACTTAATTTTAAATTATTATTTTAAATATTTAATATCATTATTGATCTAATTTAAAAATATCAAGAACATTTTAATTAAATAGAATGATTTTCACAAAAATATTTGTATTATAAATATTAATAATATTTATTTAATTTATAAATAAGAGTTTTATTTGTATTAAATGACTTTCAATAATTTTTTTTCCTGATTTTAATAATATTGAACAATTTATATTAATATTTTTTAAAAAAGTAATTAACTGTACATTATTTTATATATAATTATTAATATATAAAAACGAGATTACCTTCTTTTTTTTTGAATTTATTTTGATTTTTGTTTATTTATTTTCTGGACCAGCTGGGCTACCCTTCCTTTCGCTCTCGATCCTTAGTCCCCGCAAAAAAATAAAAATCGCTTTTTCCTATTCCTACCTCTACTTTC